CGGGAAGGGAACATCAGCCAGTTCCCCTGAGCGGTTGGTTCATCGCCCCTCTGCCGTGCTTTTCCCCAGCTGCAATTTCTCATGCAGCTTTAAGCCCTGGGTTTGGACTGGGCCCAGGATGACGTTGATCCACAGACAGCAAGAATCTGGGCTTTGTGGGACCTCTGCTCCCCACAGGTTGATGTGAAGACAGACCTGAGCGGGAAGTGACCATGTCACCTGCCCAGGCGCACATGCTGTGCTCCATGGATATGTCGCCAAATATCAGGACGCAGCACCACAGTGGCAACAGTTGGAGCCGGTTCTACCAAACCAGCATGTTCCCATGCCGTGTGCAATGCGGTCGGTGGCAGCTCCCCTTGCACAGCCACCTTTGGACCTGAAGTCACCATGGGGTATTTTCAGATGGATATCACCCTTCTCTACCCTCAATACCACTTTGGCCAGATCCTGGCAGGGGCTTCCAAACTTTACCCATGGCCTGGTGATACCTGGGGAGGTGAAAGGAGCCTTCTGCAACTATGGCCATATTCCTCCAGGTGCTGCGTCCACCACCTCCGGTATCCCAGAGCTCTCCATTTCGCTCCCACCATCTCCCAGCTGAGATGCCACAGCAGAATCGGTTCTGTGCATCCTCTCCTCCCGTAACTCAGGCGCTGGATGGGCACGCAGCGTCTGGAACAAGGCATCTACTTTTGTGGCCTTGAGCAGTATCTCCCTCTGGTGGCTGAGGAACAAGGAGCTACGGGGAGAAACACCTCCCCGGCAGGACTTCTTCCGTCTGGCAGCGTTGGGGAAAAATCTGGATATCCCAGGGCATGGGGGCATCTTGATCCCCCTCCAGCCCCCGGGGATGGGAAGGATGGGGAGGGGTATCTGGAGCAGTGATTTGTGACAGGGCAGTCCTCCTCCTCCAAACAAGGCTTTAGACTTAACTAAATAGAAGAACCTTCTATAGGTGGAAACCTGTGGTTCAGTGCGGGGACTGTACCCAGCACGCAGGACTTGGACTCTGGGTGTGACAGGGCTCTGACACCGGCTGCAGGTCTTTAAGGACAGATAATCCACATTATTTCACCTTATTTCGCATTGCTCCCAAGGAGAAGGTGAGAGGGAGCACGGCAGGATCTCACCAGTGACCATATCCCATCACGAGGGAGCAAAGCCATGGGGACATGATGCCCACACCTACACCCCCATCCATACCCCAGCCATCATGCCCCCTACGGTGCTGTCCCCAGAGTCCCTGCTCTCTTGGCCACTCCTCGTTCCATCTGGGATTGCCACAACCACCTCCCCTGGGGTGAGGGGTCAGCTCCTGGTGCACCTCCAGGCTCTCTGTGCATCGTGGATGTGCTCTGAGAAACGGAAGTCCTTGGGCATGCCCGCCTCCTGTCCCCAAAAGTATTTCTTTGCTTTCTTAAAATTGTCTGTTTGGCCATATTTTCTTTTCTGACTGGTCCATGGGATAGTTTCATGACAGCTGCTCAGTGCTGTCACACCTTTACCATCTCCAGTTATCCCGTACCACCACAAAGCGGGCGTTGAGCTGTAGGATATAGCCCTCCCAACCATTTCATGACCCTTAACAATTTTTTGCAGTCACAGCCAAAGCAGACCCATGGCTCTTCAAGACACGGTAACCTGGTAAGCCCAAGTTTAGTTGGTCTGCTGGTAATAGCAAGAATTCTGTATTTATGGGGTGAAAAACACTTAAATCACTCACAAGTGCAGCAAGGATGGTGTGAATCCTTCCATGTCTCAAGGCCCTGGACCTGGACAGAAGAGCAAACCTTCAACACATTTACTTTTCCTGCCTGGTCTTGCTTTGTGGTAACCAGCACAAGTTTGAGGGTAGCCCATAATTTGGGTAGTCATCACTCGACCTACTAAGGATTTGAATGTTGTAGTTGATGCAAACTATTACAGCACGTGGGATTGCAAGCACAGGAAGCAGAGCCAAGATCAAAACTGCTGCAGCTGGAGAGTGTTCAAGGAGAGATTCCCACCAAGTGCAATGCCATGCAACGTGATCCTTGGGTTGGCAGCTTGTTTTCCAACCGGCCGGACTGCAGGTGTTAGGGCTGGATGCTCAAAATCTACCCCAAACTACTCTTGATTTAGCATACAGTTTCAACAATTCTTGTCATGTTGGTGATTCTTCTTCAGGTAACTAAAATCAGATCATAGAATCACAGAATGGTTTAGGTTGGAAGGGACCTTGAAGACCATCCAGTCCCACCCCCCCTGCCATGGGCAGGGACACCTCCCACCAGATCAGGTTGCCCAAGGCCACGTCCAACCTGGCCTTGAACACCTCCAGGGATGGGGCAGCCACAGCTTCTCTGGGCAACCTGCGCCAGGGGATCACCACCCTCAGAGTGAAAAATTCCTTCCTAATATGTAATCTAAATCTCCCCTTTTCCAGTTTGAAGCCATTACCCCCTCATCCTATCACTACATGCCCCTGTGAAAAGTTGCTCTCCAGCTTTCTTGTAGGCCCCCTTCAGATACTGGAAGGGGCTATAAGGTCTCCCCGGAGCCTTCTCTTCTCCAGGCTGAACAACCCCAACTCTCTCAGCCTCTCTTCATAGCAGGGGTGCTCCAGCCCTCTGATCATCTTTGTGGCCTCCTCTGGACCCACTCCAACAGGTCCACATCCTTCCCACATCTCTTAGTCCAAGTTATACAGGACACAGCTCCTTTCATGGGACCCCTGCCACCTAAAGGGAAGGTTCTGGGTTAGGAAGGAAATGATCCCGCTCAGAGAGGGAAAGGACTTCCTTGTCCTAGACCCAGTTTGGTCCTGGTTTGGGGAATGGGGTGAGCAGGCACCACTGCCTGGTTCAGCATCGCTCACCCTGTCAGGGGATGGGGGACAGCGACAGCTGCCACCAGCCACCCCCTGATGGACCTGGGTTCCCACCTTGTCAAGAGGGAAGAGACAACCAATCCTTCCTCCCAACAGCGGCTGCCTGGAAGAGAAATTTGGCCAGTAAAAGCCTTCATCCCCATCCAAAACATCTGCCAACATCCCAGCGTGCCATCCCAGCTCCTCCTGAGCCCCTACTTGCCCGCAGCAACCAAACCCACCCAACCCACCGCTACCTGCATGCCACATCGAAGTGCCCGGGTCCCGCAGACTGAGGTGGCCCCAGCTAGAAACCTGCTGGTTGCAGACCCTTCTTCATCCTCCCACCACAAATCCCGACATCCAGCTCTCCTGGGGCTGTGGGAACAAAGTGGGGAGGAGAGAAAGGAGGGGATGTGGAGTCTTGCACTAGACAAGGAGGAAAAACCCTTCTCAATTAAACAGACAGCTTGATTAGGGGCGGGCAGAACCGGAACAGGTAGAAAATCTAAGAAAACAGGAAAATGGAGTTGAAAAGGAGAGGGGAGGAGGCAATGTCACATCCAGACAGGAAGCCGCGCAGCGGTTTGCTTGCAAAGCAGCAGGAGATCAAGGTCCAACACCCCCTACAGCAAGGTCCAGAGGACCTCTCTCCATGCTGACATGCAGCCCCAACACGAGACACGGACACAGCAAAGGGCGGTTTGTTTTTTAAAGCACCACCATATATTCTCAAAGGTAGAAAAAACCAAACTGGATAAAAGTGTACCGTAACATCACGGCAGCTCCGCTGCCTTCCGTGTGATGCACGTAGCGAGGACGGCTCCGGAAAAACTGCTGCAAGGGCTTCCTCCCCATGGAGCAGAGCTGCAGCACGCAATGCCGGGCTCTGAACGGAGACACGGAGCTTTCACCATGTCGGAAAGCGGCTTCACTCCCCAACCAGCCCCAACTGGGTTTTCAGTGCCCAGACCAGCTTGAGGAAACATCTGGCTGGGTCGATCCTGAGCAGTGAATGCTACATGGAAGCTTTTTCTTCTTAATTCATCACATGCCTGTCCTTCCTGCTGCCTGTCCTGTCCTGTGGCACCACCGGAATCTTGCCCGCAGCTAGGCAACAGCTGGAGGATGCAGCCAGATGTGCGCCAGCTGAGCTCGCTGGCGAATACCCAGCTGACCAGACCTCAATCAACATGTCAAGCCATGTCCTGGGGACAAACCCATGTCCAGCCAGCACATCTGGAAGCATTAGCTACTTCTGAGACCGCGGTATTAAGGCTTTTAGTTCCCCGATACAAATAAACCCCACCTGCAATGGGGATTTTCGGGTGGTAGGAGTCTGCAGAGCTGAGATTTGGCTGGAGGCTAAATTTAGGAGGGAGCATCCAGCCACACCTGGATTATCTGCAGTTGGGTGGAAGGGGGCAAGGAAGAAGCTGGAAAAGGCCACTTGAGGAAGCAGGGCAGGGTGGTGGGCAAGCAAGCAGGACATGGCTTTTGTCTACAGTTCAAGGTCCTGAGGTGGTGGTCTGCAGTATGAAGGTCTGGGCTCCTACGTGGCCCCAGCAAATGGAGTTGGTAAAGCTCTCAAGATGAACTCGGCGGGGGAAAAATAAATCAAGCACCGCTGAGCCTTACTTTAGGGCTTATTCTGCCCAGAAGGAAGGGCATCTGAGAGTAAAACTCATGATTTTTCTTGTTTAGGCACTTATTTGTCCTGAGAAGACTCCTGCTTTGGTCAGCGTTGCAACTCCTGGAGACAGCAGCCAGATCTCCGTGCTGGGACAAGCCAGCAGCTTGTATAGGCACTTGTTAAAGGACACACTTCAAGACATCATCACAAATATATCAAAGGCAGCATGCTCCAGCTGCCTAGCAGGACTGCTACATAAATAAGTTTAATAAATACCTAAACCTGGACTTTTAAGGCTTTTAAAGACCTTTGCAGCTCTCCAAAACTGCAAGTAGAAGATGCACTGGGAGGGAAGGTGATGTCCTAACAATGGAGGACCACATCTGCCCAGCAGCAGGTTCACCATGGGGACAGTCCTCATGGCCAGTGTTAATATCCCACCACCTCCTGACGTATCCCACCAAGGAGGCAGTCACTCCAGCGCTGACCCAAAGTGATGGTGCAGCGATTTCAGGGTCACTCCAGCAACCCAGACAGGTCCGTCCCCTCTCCCAGCTCCCCCAGTCCCTGCTGTGGGCATCTAGGGTCGGCCTTGGGGGTGGAGGTGAAGCATGGTGGCCTCAGCTTGCTCCTGACAGTCCCTTCTGTGCCACAAGGGTGGGTGTCCAGAGGGTGACGCCACCCCACGAGGGCACCCTCCGGTCCCACGGGCTCTGAGACCTCTCTGGGGGGATCCACCACCCCACAGCCGCTCATGCTGCCAAGGGAAGAGCTGCTCTGCAGATGCTTGTGGGCACAAATGCCCAGGATTGGGCTGATGCTCACCATCCCATGGGATAAATCCCCTCCTCCTCCTCCTCCCAGGCAGCCAGGGGGATGGACTTCGTTGTCCCTTGGAACCAGGGCCACGTGCGTAGCTGTGGCTGTCCCCACGCCAGGTGAGGTGATGCCTCCAGTGCTCGCGCTGAAATATATAGAGGAGCCCTCGGCCGGATTTGGGGAGAAGGTGCTGGGAAAGGATAGGGCTGAGTGAAAACCAGGATCCTGCCCCGCTCCGTCCTCCCGTGCCGTTCTCGCAATGCCGGCGCTGGGTTTGCCGCCTCCTCCGTTCCCCACCGCCTGCAATGTCTCATCACTCAGACCAGATTCAAGACCCTGAGGACCGATTTCCCTTGTGGGGAGGGAAAGTTGTGCCCCAGGCTCAATGCCAGTGGGTTTCTCCATCACCCATCCTCCAGGGTAAACCTCTCCAAAGCCACCACCTCCAAAAGCTGCGTTGACTATAGACACATCTCCTGTCTTCAAGGCCAGCTTGACCAGCAACCAGTGGTGATGGTTCCTCCAGCCGTCCTCCAAACACCTTCCAAATTGCAGGAGCGATGAGCTGTTTCTGGTTTTGAGATCTGCTGTGGTCCCTTCCCCTGCCAAGGACCTGCTGTATCCCGAAATTCCCAAGCTTTGCCCTGCTTGGGAGCCATCTCCAGCAACCTTGTCATCACCTGCAGCCACAGCGCTGCAGGTTGTCTCCAGGAAGCCCTGCCAGATCTCCGTGGACTTGGGATGGAGCAGGCTGTAATAAACCACCAAAGCTGCGGCACCTGAAAAAGAGCAGAAAGGTGTCAAGGGACGAGTCCCAGCAGCGTTTCGGTCAGGTGCCACCTCCAGATCAACAGGCCCACCGCAGAGATGCTGGTGGATATCAGGTGGCCAAGCAGCGTGTCTTGGGACAAGCAAAAATCCCACTTGAGCAGCTGTTGGGAAAGGGGAGCGATGAGCATGCTTTCAAGACCGAATTTAATCTGGATGGATTTGCAGACCGACAGATGCACAGCGAGACAGCCGCTGAGCACCAGCAGACAGGGCATTGGGCAGGGAGGAGATGTGTCACACAGGAATGCTTCCCATCTCACAGCATCCCGGTCCTCCAGCTATCAAATGCAACAGGATTTTAAGATACCTTCCTACTTCTATCCTAAACTCATTCAAGGGCAGAGGAATTGCTCCTTTTCCAGCCCAAATGTGCCCTTTCTCTAAGCCCCCGGCATCCCGGGCTGCATCCCCAGCAGCGTGACCAGCAGGGCGAGGGATGGCACTGTGCCCCTCTGCTGCGCTCTGCTCTGGGGAGACCCCCCTGCAGTGCTGCCTCCAGCTCGGGGGCCTCAGCACAGGAGAGACATGGACCTGGTGGAGCGGGGCCAGAGGAGGCCCCGGAGATGCTGGGAGGGCTGGAGCCCCTCTGCTGGGAGGACAGGCTGGGAGAGTTGGGGGGGTTCAGCCTGGAGAAGAGAAGGCTCCGGGGAGACCTTACAGCCCATTCCAGTCCCTAAAGGGGGACTACAAGAAAGATGGAGAAGGATTTTTTACAAGGGCATGTAGTGATAGGACGAGGGGGAATGGCGTCAAACTGGAAGAGGGGAGATTTAGATTAGATCTTAGGAAGAAATTCTTTCCTGTGAGGGTGGTGAGCCCCTGGCGCAGGTTGCCCAGAGAAGTTGTTGAGGCCCCATCCCTGGAGGTGTTCAAGGCCACGTTGGATGGGGCTTGGAGCAACCTGGGCTGGTGGGAGGTGTCCCTGCCCATGGCAGGGGGGTTGGAACTGGATGGTCTCTAAGGTCCCTTCCAACATAAACCATTCTGTGATTCCATGGTTGATCTGTGTGCAGCTGGTGTGGGGAGATGCCCAAAGCCCAGCGTGTGGGCGTTACACCCCCCTCTGCCCCCAGCCCACTAGGAAAACATGAGCCTGATGGGGACCTCACCCAGCAAAGAGCAAATCCCATCCTTGCCCAGTGCCAATTTTTGCAAATAGAGGTGCCAATGGGTTGTTTGTGAGCATCGTACAATCTCTGCCCTCCTTCAGCTGAGTTGTGCATTAAAGCTTTAGGGCATTAAATGCACCAGGTGGCCATAGCTGCTGTCTACTTTATGGGTATGGAGTAAGGCAGAGTATGGGCAAGGTGTGGAGTACCTTCTCCATCACATACCAAAAAATCCTCTCCATGAGCACAAAAAGCTTCTCCATTTGCAGAAGCAGCGCTGGTCTTTGAAAGAAAAGATGGTGGGAGAAAGCTGCTGTAGCTCCGCATGGTCCCACATCGGCGTATTTCCAAAACACACCCAGGGACGGCTGATCAATCACAAACCACCTTCATCAATCTTCAGTATATGCTCAAATGAAAATATTTCCCTGCAGCGATTCCCTGTGTTGTGCCACTGCCTGCGCTGATCACCAAGGTGACCAAAAGCACAAACAGATGTGCTTCAGATTTGCACATATTGCATTTGGCGGCGGCACCTGAACCATTTGGTGACGCCTCCATCATTTCCGCAAGCCTCCTTCTTCAGGAGTGGGCTTTTAAGAAACGGTGAAATGAAACGCAAGGTGGATTTACGCATTATCAAATACATTCATATGCTTAAGCTGGAAGAATTAAAGCAAATAATCTGATGCAACTAATAAAATAACTCGTGATGCTCATTTATTCTCAAAACATGCAAGCCGGGCCCTAAAAAACAGCAGATCTTACCTATTACGTACCCCGACATGACGGCCCCGGTCACGCACAGGCTGCTCCTCAGCTCTGCCTGCAGGAACTGGGTGGCCAGCAGCAGCAGGAGGGTGTTTTCCATCAGCATTATCTGCAGAGTAGAGGGAAGAGAGTTATCACTTTTACGCTTCCCAGGGAAGCTGTGGCTGCCCCATCCCTGGAGGTGTTCAAGGCCAGGTTGGATGGGGCTTGGAGCAACCTGGGCTGGTGGGAGGTGTCCCTGCCCATGGCAGGGGGGTTGGAACGAGGTGATCTTCAAGGTCCCTTCCAACCCAAACCATTCCATGATTCTATGACTCTGATGGTTTTAGACATGCTTCTGATGACAGAAAACACCCAGTTTCTAGATTTTGCTGATTTATTTTGCACCTAACTTATCACTTAAAACATAGGGTTTGCTGAACTGAGCTTTCTGTAAGGTCTCAACCTTTTTTTCACCATGGAAAATAACTCTGGCAAAGCAGCACAGCCACTCCGGTGCTATCGAGACATTGTATGGTGGCTGCCAAGAAACCAAAGGCAGCTCAGAAGGAGCATCCACCTTGATGACCACGTGGCTTTGTCAGGACATGGGAAACACTGGATTTTTATCAAGTGGTGATGTGAGAAATGAGAAAGGACAGTCTGAAGCTATTGCTACCCCCCAGCAGCTGCACCCATGTGGAATACTGAATATCCCGGGTACTCACTGCATAAAACACGGCCACCCTGTGCTTGGAGGGACCAGGACGGACATTAATGTAGCAGAAGATGTACATGGCTCCCACCAGGCAATTGAAGAGCCTCCAGCGGCAGGGCTGGGCCACGATGTCCGTCTGCTGGGCCACCAGCCAGAAGGCCATGAGCAGCCAGTGGACACCTGCAAGGAGAAAGGACCGAGAGGGCAAAGCCATTGCTGGGGGAGGCTGCAAAGCGCTCCTGGACTGGGACCATCCTTGCGGGTGACAGCAGGATGGGACACGGCGAAGATGATCACGGGTCCTACCTGCCACAGCGAAAACCCAGAAGGAGTACAGCCTGGCAAAGAGCACCAGGGCCAGGACCCTGGTCCCCAGCATCCCTGTCCTCCAGAGAAGCAGGCAGAGGATGGCCGCGGCTGGCGGGCAGAGGTGACCAGGTTTCAGCAGGCAGGTGAAACGGGTGTAGGAGACCAAAGCCCAGGCGAGGGAGAGCAGGGACAGCCCAGCGCTGACACCTGCACGGGGACAGGGGCAGTCACAGAATCACAGAATGGTCAGGGTTGGAAAGGACCTCTGGAGATCATCTAGTCCAACCCCCCCACCAGAGCAGGGTCACCTACAGCAGGTTGCACAGGACAGCATCCAGGTGAGTTTTGAATGTCTCCAGAGTGGGAGACTCCACAACCTCTCTGGGCAGCCTGTGCCAGTGCTCCACTACCCTCAAAGTAAAGAAGTTGCTTCTCATGTTAAGATGGAACTTCCTATGTTCAAGCTTGTGCCTGTTACCCCTCGTCCTATCACTGGGCACCACTGAAAAAAGACTGCTCCCATCCCCCTGGCACCCTCCCGTTAAGTATTTGTAAGTATTAATAAGATTCCCCCTCAATCTTCTTTTCTCCACACTAAAGAGACACAAATCCCTCAGCCTTTCTCCATATGAGAGATGTTCCAATCCCCTAATCATCTTTGTAGCCCTTTGCTGGACCCTCTCCAGCAGTTCCCTGTCCTTCTTGAACTGGGGAGCCCAGAACTGGATGCAGTAAAGGCGCTCTGAAGGACGCCCCAACTGCGTTGTAGGACCGTACCTCAATGCTAAGGAGGTGCTGGTAGCACGGCACCCCGCTACAAGCCAGGCACCCCGCTGTCCTGCCAAATGGAGTATTTCAACCAATTACTGCTGAATCTGGCCTCC